TATTATTTTTATTTTATGTGTTTGAGTGTTAATGCCTGCATGTAGGTAAGTGCACTGCCTGCAGAGGACAGAAGAGGCTGTCAGATCCCCTGGAACTGGAGATACAGGCAGTTGTTAGCCACCATGTGGGTGCTGGGATCCGAACTTGGGTCTTCTGCAAGAACAGTCAGTGTTCTTAACCACTGAGCCATCTCTCCAGCCCCAGAAATAGTATTCTTTCTTTATTATAATTTTTTTGGGGGGTGGAGGAAGTAGACAGGGGATTGGCCCCACAGCCTCTCTCACATTCTGTCTTTTACATCCTCTCTTCCAGTGCTGGTCACAGTTAGATACCAGAAGTGTGTTTAGCATAATAAAGTAATTCTGCTATGCATATAATAGATAGACCCTGTATTTTTTTATGTGAACAGATTTTTAGTTGCCAAAAGAAATAAATATGAGACAAGAGAAATTAGGATTCATATTCTGAAAAACATTTCTTTAAAATGAGTTATAAGACTGTAACAATCTTCATTGTTAACTGACCGGATTTAGAACCACTAAGGAAACACACTTCCTGGTGTGTACATGAGGATGTTTCCAGAAAGGTTTAACTGAAGAGGGAAGACTTATCCTGAATGTGAGAGGCACCATTCCCTGGGCTGGGGTCCCAGACTGAATAAAAAGGAGAAAGTGAGCTGAGCATCAGAATTCATCTAGCTCTGCTTCCTGGTGGCTGAGGTCATGTGAGCAGCCGGCCACCATGCCTTCCCTGCGGTGAACCCAAACAACCCTCTCCTCCCCTACGGTGCCTTTGTCATGTGTTCTGTCACAGAGATGAGACCAGTAACTAACATGGCTCCCTGTGGAAGACTTCTAGAAGATGGGCAGGAAGTTTAGAGTTACTTTATTAAGTATTCTACTGATTTCTAATCCAGAACCTCACCAAGTTGCAGAGTACATGTGAGGAACTGAGTAAGCCATGGGCAGTTAAGATGGAGGTGAAGATGTGGGCTGTGATGCTGCGCAGCCCAGGTGCAGATCCTTGCTCAGCTGTTCATGATGTCTGACCAAGAATGGCCTCTTGAGCCTCAAATTCCTTCCCATAACGTAGACACTACTGTGCTGCAAAGTGCATTGCAAACGGCTTAGCTCAGTACTCAGTAACTAGTAGGTATGCTATGATCCATCTTAAGATGTAAAGGGTATCACTGCTGTTACCTTCACAATAGCCTTAGGGAATCATAATTTCATTTATTCAGCTGCTATAAGGAAGCTTGTAACGTGGTTTGACAAAATTTAGGGTTTACGACCTTACCCAAAGACACTTTACCATGCTATGAATTTAGACTGTTGCTAAACTACAAACGATTAACATAATGACTTTAAAATAAAAACAATTTAACTATAGCTGTATGAGGAAACTAATTTAAGAAAATGATAGTATCAGCCAGGTGTGGTGGCACACACCTTTGATCCCAGCACTCGGGAGGCAGAGGCAGGCAGATCTTTGTGAGTTCAAGGACCGCCTGGTCTACATAGTGAGTTCCAGGCCAGCTGAGGCTACAGGGAGACCCTGTCTCAAAAAGACCAGATTTAAAAAAAAGAAAAAATGACAGTATCCATCCAAGACGTACATAAAATGCACTGAGTCTTTAAACAAAATAGTTTTAGAATTTTAAAAAGTATCTCATCTTGGGGGCGACCAGACAGGGAAAAGCGCCTCCTGCCAAGGCTGACTTGAGTTAGGTCTCCAGGATCACGTGGCTGAAAGAGAGCACTGACTCCCACAAGTTGCCCTCTGACCTCCACACATAAGCTCTAGCATGCATGTGCCCACACGTATGGAAACACAAACAAATAAATGTAGCAATTTTTAAAGTATCTGATCTTTAGAAGTCAGATAAAAAAATACCCGTTACTTTTCATAATAGGCACTGAAACTTAGCTCCATAAACTCACAAAATCTTCAGTCTCTTCACCTATATTTATTAATACGCTGCACACGTGCTTTAGGGTTTGCCCTTTATCTGCGAGGCCCGCTCAGCCCTAACCGGCCACTTGTGAGGACTTCAAATCCTTGTCTCCACTCTGGCAAAAGGGATCATCCTAAAAATCTCTTGTGCTTAAAGCACTTCATAACCTTCTAGCTCTGCAGACCCACAGACTCCTTCCCCTGGCTTCACACCTTGGCCTTTTGTACTCCTGTCCCTCCTGTGGGCCACACCCTCTCACATCTCTCCAATGCTCTCTCTTGCCTCCAGGCCTACATGGAAAGGCTTTTACTGGTTGCGACATTCTTCTTCCTCCTCCTCCTCCTCCTCCTCCTCCTCCTCCTCCGTTTTGTCACTTGTCTGTGATCAGGATTGGTATTACATTAGTAGTTATA